AAATCTCACAATTTTAAACACTTCGGCACCTACAATAAATAAATCTGACGTTCAGAATCACGATGCTTTGACTTTACCCAGAAGGGCAGGAGGAGGCCAGGAGTCAGGGCCTTGGTGAGCTTCTCCTGACTGTCGGCTTGGCCTCTGGGGGGCGGTGTTGTCTCGTAGGAAATGGCTCTGTTGTAAAGGACTTGGAGAAGCTCAGCAAAACCTTCCTTCCTCAGAGCTGAAGGAGGTGCTCTGACAGCCTTTTATACAGTGACTGGAAAGGCGCCTCAGACACCAGAGGCCCGCAGTTTCACAAGAGAACAATCTCCTCTTGGTGCGCACAAAGGTCGAGGGAGGAAACATCGCAGCCCTCCGGACCCTCCTCAGCCTCACAGAGGCTGGTTCAAGACCACAGACCTCAGACTATTGTGTTTGTGAGGAATGTCGCAGAGGGGAGCTGACTTCTCCATGATGCCCGTGGTGCTGACCGTGACGCTTGAGGTGCTCCTGTTCCTGAGTGAGTGCCTGCCCACGTCCACTCGCTGGGCCACCAGTGGAGCTCTGTCCTAGTTTCTGAATAGAGGCTTTTTGTTTGAGATGAACTTATTGAGTCTTCATTGATGTTGCAGGAGGATCGGGAGCGCAGTCAGTGACCCAGCTGGACGCCCACGTCGTTGTCTCTGAAGGAGGCTCTTTGGAGCTGAGGTGCAACTATTCATATCGTAGCTCTCCTTATCTCTACTGGTACGTCCAGTACCCCAGTCAAGGTCTCCAGCTCATCCTCAAGGACTATTCAGGGAACGCCGTGGTTAAAAGCAGTAAGGGCTTTGAGGCTAAACTTGATAAGGTAAAAACCTCTTTCCACCTGAAGAAACTCTATGCCAACTGGAGCGACACAGCTCAGTACTTCTGTGCAGTGAGTGACACAGTGCTTGGGGCTGCAGGGGGAGCTGAACACAAATCTCCTGGGACGTTGCAGCTAAGAAGACTCACAGTCTCAGTCTGAGTTATTTTCACGTATTTGTCTTGTAGAGATGCCAAGCTGTATAGAGAAGACGGAAGGGCTTGGAAGCTTTTAGCTTTTGGACATTTTCTCCCATTTTGCCATTTTTCAAAGTAATGACTCCTGTTTTCTAAAGTGTAGCATTTTCATCCTTTAGAACAGGATTCTAGAAAGAATGTGGGTATAGGTTTTCAGCAAGTTGAAGGAAATACTTGTTTATTTCCATGTCATTTGAGATAATGATGGGCTAAGATGACGTGTTTGGATCAGGGGAACTGGTGTGAGGCAAACTGTCATACAATAGGAAATCCAAGAAAATTGCTTCTTTCAGACATATTACCTCCAGATTACTGGTAACCTGACCGACTTTTTTCCTTGAAGGACTTCAGCTCGACACTCAGTCTTTAAAAATCAGAAAGTGAACTAATAAAAAGGCCTCTGCCTCAGTTACCCATTTGTATAACCTTAGAATACTTAGTTGTGCTCTTTAAATCACTGACATGCTAACTTCCCTAACAAGGTCACCTTCAGGCACTAACAGAATCACTGATGAACTTTGGTACACAGATGAATTATGGATGTAAGGAACAGAAGACCACTCATTCTGCCCAAATGCACCAGCACAACAAATATGAGCTTGCCAATATAAGAAAACACATGAACACACTACAGATTGAACAGCTGCACTCTTAATAGTCAGGCTGAACAGCTAAAACCCACGTTACTGATTCATGATACCCTTATGAAAACCCTGACCCAAAGCTCAACTTGAGATAGTTTCTTGAGGACATGAGCCCACTTCTCTGTAGAACCCTGGCTTTCTGAACAAAGTTAACTGTCCTAACCCATCTCTGCTTATGGGAGGTGAGTGACTAAGCTGTGATTTTTGGAAGCAGAGCACCCAGATTTTGTCTCTCCTGTTTTTCTAACTCAGAACTGAATTTCAGTAATACCCACTGAGATTCCAATTATAATTGATGATTCCTTAACCATGTTTCTTATTTCCTGTTTTTTTCCTACTTCTATTTTCATTTTCTACCTTTCACCTTCTAATTTGTTACTGTTTTTCACAGAGGCATTAGCAAACAGTGCTGGCCACTAGATCTGATCTTCATTGTCTGCAGATAAGTCACTTTCCACTTCAATGATAATAAAGTCCTTATTCTCTATTCGTTTTACCTCTAAATTCCTACCGAGAATCATTATCTACAGAGGATTATTATTAATTATAAAATGATACAAGAGCACAAACTAAAATTATTTTCCTACATACATTTACAAAAACAATTACTTAAAAAATCTAAAGCTACAAAGCAAAATACGAATCATATCAGTCAGTAGTTTTACACTTGATCTTAGCCAAAAGGCCAAAAAGTGATTAGTCAATAGTTTTAATAACATGTATTTAAAACTCAATGTTATTTTAAAATATAATATAATTTTATAAGTAACAGTTATTCACAATTCTAGGTTCAATGTCTACCTAGCTGCTAAAGTAAATAATCAATAAAACTCTCCATGCAGTGTCATTCTAGATAAATACATATGTGAACATGCTGTAAAATAATTCGGAAGCCCCTCACCACCAGGTCTCAGGTCTAGCAGGTAAGGTAGCAAAGAATCTTCACAAGCTCCATCTTGAATGCTGGAATTTACATCCTGAAGGTAAAGTCAGTCTTTCCACACCCACTAAGTATACACGAAAGCCATCCCCCCCCCCCCAAGGTGCTGTTGCAGTTCTTAAAAAAAATAATAATATTTATTTTTTACATCATTCTTCATTTTGTAGATTTTCCATCTCAGTTGTAATCCCCGTGGACTTTCCATCATCACTTCACCTCTGTGCCATCACCATAGTCCCGTGCTCTCTTTCCACCCGCGTTTTGATCCCATTCCCCATTCTACCCCCATAGAATGTCTCTGGTTTATAGTTGTTCATTTTTTTTTTGTTATTACAATTGCCCCCTGTCCTTCATTCCTTATGCTCCTGCTATGAGTGAAACGCTCCGGTATTTTTCTTTTTCTCTCTGGCTTATTTCACAAACCACTATAAGAGATTTAGCAATGGATATCCAGCCTTTGCACCTCTACAGATTATTCTCTGAAAAGGAAGAAGTTAAACACTTCATTGCTCCAGCATCAGTATATCGTTAGGTATGGACAACTTAGAACTAAAACCCACTCCTATCAGAAATAATTACATTCTTAATGTCACTGATCAACTGTACCTAGTTATATAAATTAAATGGGAGAGTGGTCACAGGGTAAAATCTGTTGGACTGCTTCCTAAGCAAATCCTCACTTGCATTATCAAGTAAACTGTTTGCATTATCTAGTAAACTGATTTTTTTTTTAAAGATTTATTTATTTGTGCATACAGAACTGGGGTATAGGCCAGAGACTCAGGGGTGGTGAAAGACTTCACCAGAGACAGAGTGGGGAGCAGAACAGGCAGATCGACGAAGTACACTGCTAAGGGGAGCAGCGGGCGGGTCAGAAGAGGTCTGCCACGCCATGTGGTCACCTCCGGGGCAGGCGGGAATAGAACTCATGCAGAAGTGGTTTCAGCTTCTTAGTGCAGTTCTTTAACCTGCTGCGCCACCAGGGAGGGCCAAAACTGATTTTTTTTCTTAAAGATTTATTTATTTGTGCATACAGAACTGGGGTACAGGCCAGAGGCTCAGGGGCGGTGAGAGGCTTCACCAGAGACAGAGTGGGGAGCAGAACAGGAAGATAGACGAAGTACACTGCTGAGGGGAGCAGCGGGCGGGTCAGAAGAGGTCTGCCTCGCCATGTGGTCACCTCTGGGGCAGGCAGGAATAGAACTCATGCGGAAGTGGCTTTAGCTTCTTTCTCAGTGTTGTGCTTTAACCCGCTATGCCACCAGGGAGGGCCCGTGAACTGTTTAACCATCCTAAGACTTTATTTTCAGCTAGCACATGCAATTTAAGAGTAATATTGTTTGATATGACAAGCGTCCCAGCCATCATGAGTACTGTGGTGAATAAAAAGTTGACTCATGGCCCCTAGACCACAGGTGAGCACACACCTAAGGAGTAAGAAACGGATCCTCACCTCCCCTGGAACATAGGGCTTCATTATGCCAGGGCCTGTTCCCTCCATCCCCCTGAGCTGGCCTGGGCCAGCTCATTCATTTTTCTTTACTTTTTCCTAAAATCCTTCCAATTTCCATCTCAGAGAGTTCTTTCCTGTCAGCAGACACACAATGCACAAATTTATCTGATATTCAAGTTCAGTTTCAAGGATGACTATTAAGTGTGTTAGAAGATTTTCCTAAAGTCTGAAGAGTAGGAGTATGTTCAGCTTTGCACCTGTGGGAGCATACTCAAGGGACAGAGACCCCGTATGCCTTAGTACCTGTGCGTGACTGGTGACCCTGTTCATATACCTGCTTATCTTCTATGCTTCTTGTGATCACCTTCCAAAGATCACCCACTTTGCTTTGTTACTCCCCTCTCTGGTCACCTCCACAGATGACATGCCTCACAGGCTCCACTGAGTGCTCTGTGGTATGTGTTTGAGTGACTGCTACCATCTGGGGGCTTGTGGAGTATTTAAGGAATGCTTTTCAATATGGCATCATTAGATGTTCGTCTCCCCCACTACATCAGATGTCCTCTGAAGGAAGGAATAGTGCCCAATTTGCTCAGTTTTTAATGCCCTTACATTCTTGTCTATCCTGGATTGAATCAACTAGGAGGATGCATTTTTTAAAAGTTCATAGGTAAGAGTTAAACAGTTGTATTTGTTTTATTATGTTACATAATCATTACCTAGTTACATGAATGTGTTTTTTCAACAAAAGTTACAAGAAGGATAGAATTTGTGATATCCTGCATCCTCATGATTATTTCTGTGACTTAAAGACAATGCCTAGAAAGGAAGTCTGGACAGAGCTGGCAAGTTTTCCTTATGTCTCCTATGTTTCTAGCCCTCAAGGAGTCACTGTAGACTTTTCTTAAGTATCGGAACTACTCAGAGGGACCTGGTGATGAATAGTGGTTAGAATAATTGAGAAATTTTCTGGATGTGTGATAGTTATCACAGAGGGGGAGTGGTTGTAGGTGAAGGAAAACTATGAATCAGCACATAAAATAGTGCTTCTCACTGAACACACCTTTTAATTAATATTCTGCCTATTCATGAGTCAAGTAGTAGATGTTTATAACTGCAGTGCAAATACCTGCATCTACATTCTTATTTCTTCTCTGTGTATGTTAACAATTTTGTCTGTATCTGTCAGAAACGAATCTTGGGTGAAATAATGTCATCAAAAGGGAAGATCTGAATTCCCCGGTATAAAAAGCAGATATTTCTGATTTTTTTCATTCTAATATCTAAAATTTTTATGTAGTAGGGAAATAATAATTTTCATTTTACATATTATTTAAAATTATTCCCAAGTAATTGAAGCCCACGTTTTCTGTAATATATTTTTCTTTCCTCTTCCTGTAAGTAGAAAATCGAAGAGAGAAAATAAGGAGGAAAAGGAGAATATAGAAGAGAAATGTGGTCACAGAGGCAGGTTTCTGGGAAAGGGGAGAGACAGGAGACTAACAGAGAAAAAAAGAAGACTGGAACTGTAGGCTTGAATGAGGGAAGCTTTCACTGATAAAGAAATAGAAAGAAAAAAGCAAAACATACTAAGTAGCAAGGATAATAAGTAGAAATAATGCTGTCCAATTTTCACCATTTACAAACACTTGAGGTTCATTTCCTCTAACAAGGTTTCCCACAGTCTGGTGATTCGGGAGAGTCCCAATCAGTTTGCTTCCTATATTCCAATTCTAAGAATTCATTAAGTATATAATACAAAGTTTTTATGTTCTTAGACCTTTGTGTGACTGGAATGTCTCATATGTAAATAATTCACAGGTAAATAATCTCCTGTCAGAAGCCTGCCTATTTTTTGAGCTTAAAAATGTAGTCGCCTGTGATCACCTGTGATCTCTTCCAGCTGTAATGAGGGGGACCAGACCCCTTTCTCTCCTAGGATGCCCCTCCACTCCTTTTCATACTCTGTTTCACCCACTATTACCAGAAAAAGTCCCTCAAGAAATGGAATAAAGAGCTTGCTCCCCAAGGCTCCCCTGCTCTGCAACCACTGGCAGTGAGGTGAGGCTGCAGAAGGGACTTGCTGGTGGGGCGGGGCTTCCGTGTGGGGCGGGGCGTCTGTGTGATGCCCACATCAGCTGGGCTTGTGGGATGAGGCTGACTAGGTGTCAGGAGTAGGAACAGGGCCACTTGCTGAGCCAGGTCCTGTCCAGCTCTCCCTGGTGTTCAAATCTAGGCTGCCTGGAAATGTCTGGAGCAGTGAGGCGGAGCATGAGGAAGAGGCTGCTGAGCGCTGTGTTGGGGCTGCTGTGTGCCCAGGTTTGCTGTGAGTTGGGGAGTCCTGATGGAGGTTTGGGGGGCTGGCAGCTGCAACCCTGCTGAGCTGGAAGGAGAAGAGTTGGCTGTGGCAGTCTGCACTCTCCTCATGATCTCAGGGGTCTTTTCTGGTTTTGTGCAGTGACCATCACCTATGACTGAGTCTCCATTTTTCCTCAGGTGTGAGAGGGGACGTGGTGCAACAGAGTCCTCGAGACTTGATTCTCCAGGAGGGGGCCAACACCATACTGATGTGCAACTCTTCCAATGTGTACAATGTGCAGTGGTTCCGCCAAAACCCCGGAGGTGATCTGGTCACCTTGTTTTATATGACTTCGGGGACACAAGATAAAGGAAGATTAAAGGCTAAGGCACCCACCAGTGAAAAAAAGAGCTCACTGCAAATTTTCTCTGCCGAGACCTCAGACTCAGCCATTTACTTCTGTGCAATGAGCCATAGTGCTTCCCAGGCACCTGCAGCCTGAGCACAAACCCTCACCGGGCAGCCCCCTCCAAACACAGCCACACAGTACTGGCTCAGCTCAGCTCAGCTTTCCCAACCCCACTGGCAGGTTTAATGTCAGAAGTCTTTAGCTCTGTAGGACTGAGGCTTAGGTCACTATCTTCCTTCAAACCACACCTCTTTCTGCCCTATATGTCTAACTAGAGAGTAGCTGATAAAATGTCAGAAATCTCCTTACCTCTTTTCAATGATGAAAGAGAGCTTAAAATTAAATACTAGTCTCTGTGACTTCCCCAGTAACTTCTCTTTGACTCTTTTCTCCGCCCCCCATGCTCCTATTGTTCCCCAAAGTTCTTTTATCTTAGGTATGCAATAAGTCAGTCGGTAATGATGGGTGCCTTTCATGTATATAGCTGATATAGATATGATATAATCGAATATGTTTTTTTAATTGAGTTGAGGTAACATTGGGTTACACAATGGTATATGATTCAGAGGAACAGGCTCACACCTCAGATATGCATCTCCATGCCCCATCTACCCCTGAGCACCCACTTCCCTTTATTGTCTACCATTTGACCCCCTTCTCATTTTATTTCCCCCTCCTCTTCCCCGTAGTGGCCTCAATTCTTCAGTCATTTCTAGACTTTGTTTTGGCTTTATTCTAAAAGGCCTTCTGCTTCTTTATATTCCACAGATGAGTAAAATCATACAATATTAGTTTTTCTCTTTCTGACTTTTTTCATTAGCATAATCCCCCCCCAGAGGCATCCAAATGGATGCCTAGTTATCTGTCATTGGGCACTTAGGCTGTTTCCATAATGTAGTCATTGTAACGAGTGCTGCAATGAACATAGGAGAGCATATATCTCTTTGAATTTTTTTTTGCTATCTTTGGAAATGCCAAGGAGTGGAAAATTTGGAGTCTGTAAATTCCAGCATGGCAACATGAGTAGATCCATGGATATTTTTTCCCAGAAAAATAACTGATGAAATTTTTTTTTAATACAAAAATGTCTGGACTTAATCTTCACTATAGTAATATTAGTCTTAAACTTTGGGCATCTATGTACCTGTTTTTAACCTTGATTGATTTTAGAATGTTATAATCTCAAGTAAAGGTCAAAACGACCCCAGACTCCTTGTCACTTATTGGCACTTACAAAAACAGCTTTTCTTTGACATATGTTAGATTTCCATTGAGAAAGAGAACTGTCATTTGTCTTTAGCCTGCGTTAACAATGAAGTCTTTACAATGTCTACACTATAGATATATCAGGTCTATTGAAGTATCACAACTATGAGAAGTTCTACATTTTTTTTTCACCAATGAGAATAATGAGCAAAGTATTTAAATACTCATTGTCTAAAGTTCTGTCCCCCTAATACTGAAGGGGAAAATCTGGACATTTCTGACATTCTGTCAGGCTGTTTTGTTTGTTAATTCCTTGACAGCAGTCAGTGCAGAATATTTATTACAGAATATTTGGACTTGGTGGTCTTATTATCTTTTTGTTTACTTCTTCTCACTCTCACAATAGATGATAACCAAAGATATCTGCCTTTGTTTGGAACTAATCACCAGCAGAATTAGACTATGATCTCAGAACTTATAAAATCATCAACATGTAAGATGATTGGAAAATTAATTTTTCTTTATGGCATGTTCAGCCAACATTTACTGTTCTGTACTTCTGGTAAGTCATTATTTTCTAAGTCAGACTTTTAAAAGCACTTTAGGATTTTTGTTAGATTGATTGTAGCCACACACAAATTTGTCACAGCATCAATATCATGCCATTTAAAAAAAATCTCAAAAAGATAAATTATTCATTTTAAATATGGGCCAAATATTTGAGCAGACTCATTCCAAAAGGTATATGAATGACCAGCAAGCACATAAACAGATGATCAAGTGTCAACAAAATATGGACCACAAACCATTCCAGTTGGTCACTTATTTTATAAATAAAGTTTTATTGAAACAATGCAGTGCTCACTCATCTATTTATTATCAATAATGTCTTCCATTCTGCAATGTCAAAATCAAGTTGGAAGAATTCAGAATGACCTGTATAACCAAATATATCTACTATTTTACTCTTTATGGAACAAATTGCCAACAATGTCCAACATCTCGAGTTATCTGGGAAATACTGGGAGATCACGACATACTTATTGTGCCATCTAGACTATCACAGTTAGCAAAGATATGGAATATTCTTTTACGTTTAGAATTTATTTAGGGACTTGTTCTCTTCAGTGTTAAGGACTCTCCTTATGTGATGTTGATATTATGAGAGGAAACAGAAATGCAGTAACTCAGCCTGAAAACCATTTTCTTCCTTTACAGAGATCATGAAGTGAGGTGCTACTGTAATATTTATTTCAGGAAACTTAATCTTTCCTCATATACTGAGCATCTCAACTAAGACTTCCAGATCCACCTGTGACATACCTCAGTATAGACAGACCATCAAGGTGTTAAACTTCAAGAAACTTTTTCCATTGGAAGAAATTGTTGTTTGAGAAGACTCAGCCACTTCTAGTTGTGCTTTGTATTGATGAAATACAAACTTTTAAGAAGCTTTTGAAGTTATGCAGTGACACTTCTCTGTATGGCCACAGAGGGGCAGTGGTGCTCCAAAGCAGAATCAAGTGTATCCATAAGCTCATGTTCATCAAGTAGCCAGACATTATCTTATAAATCTATTAAATCATTGCCTCCTAATTAGCTTCAACTTATATCTATCAATCATCTCAAATGATTAATTAATTAAAGACTACATGAAAAGGAAAATAATGTATATCAAAAATTCAACAAAAATAAAAAATTCTCTTAGGCTACTAAAGAGAATGAGATTTGATTATAAATCAAAGAATAAAGACTCTTCAAATTCTCTCAATTTGTACTTTTCTGGTGTTTGTCTTTGGATTTGAGATTACTTATAATATAGATCACTCAACTTATAGGACCATTTTAAAATTTATCCTGAAATTTTGTCTTTGTATCTTCCTGTGCTGACATCACTATGGAGGTTCCCCAAGCTACGAAAAATGGAGCATCCATAAGATCCAGCAAATCCTTTCCTAGAATCTACCCAGAGAACACAAAAACACTAATTTAAAAGGACTCCTGCATCCCTATGTTCATTGCAGCATAATTTACATTAGGCAAGCTATGGAAACAACCCAGATACCCCAAAATATATGACTGGATCAAGAAGATGTGATATATTTACACAAGGGAATATTACTCAGCAATCAAAAAAGACAAACTCATACCCTTCACAGCAACATGGATGGAACTGGAAGGGATTTAGCTCAGAGAAATAAGCCAGAAAGAAAAAGAATGGTTTCATTTATAGGAGGGTTGTAGAGGAATCAAATAAGGAATCAGTAAAATAACAATCATAAGTAAAAATCAAAATCATCAGTAAGTACAGAACAGAGACATTCTGTAGGGGAGAAGAAGGGAGAAGGAACAGGACAGGGGTGAGAAGAGCACAAGGGACTATGGTGACGGTGCAGGGAGAATTGGTGGGAATTTTGTGGGGAAATCATGTATGTACCAAAATGAAGGATGATATAATGAATATATTAAAGAAATCTAAAAAATATAAAAAAATAACATGTAAAAGAAAAAACGTTAAACTGAAAATAGTGTAAACTGAAAATTAGAGCTGATAAATAATTGGAGTACTGATTAATCGTGGCCCTGTATCTTCTGAAGTCTGCAGAAACTTTAAATTGTCTCTTATGGGCCCTCCCTGGTGGCGCAGCGGGTTAAAGCACAGCACTGAGAATCTGAAGCCACTTCCGCATGAGTTCGATTCCCGCCTGCCCCGGAGGTGACCACATGGCGCGGCAGACCTCTCCTGACCCGCCCGCTGCTTCCCTCAGCAGTGTACTTCGTAGATCTGCCTGTTCTGCTCCCCACTCTGTCTCTGGTGAAGCCTCTCACCGCCCCTGAGCCTCTGGTCTGTACCCCAGTTCTGTATGCACAAATAAATAAATAAATTTAAAAAAAAAATTGTCTCTTATGATTTGGAGGTCAATATTCCTCCAGAGCAGATAATCCTACAACTTCCCAAATTCATTTCATCAAGTATGTTCTCAGAAGTTTTCTTTATCACTTGATTTATCTGATACAAATTTTAGAAGAAATGTAAAATATATCATTGACTAAATAAGTGTCATCTCCACTTCTTAGGGGAATATGGACTCATCTGAAAGATGGAATAATACTTAAATTCCCTTAGAGCAAAGGAATCATATATGCTCCTTTTGATCCATGCCATTAGCCAATTATGGGCCTTTATGCCACTTTTTGTTTTCAATAGACTTTAAGTAGTATTTGTAATAAAAAGAAAATCCCATATACCATTCTTGTGGGTTTCTGATAATCTCCCTTTCTCTATTGTAAAATAAATCATCTCTATGGACCTATCAACCTCTGCTAGTATACAATTTTACTTATTTTGGAAATAATTTTTTCTTAGTTTTATGTAAAAAAGCGAGCATTGTCTCCCCCTAAGGCACATGTCTATGGGTCTGATGATCCTAAGCGGTCTGTCTGACCACCATTGTTTGCATTCTGTACAAGATCAGAACTGCCTTGTCAATAAGTCATAAGAGCCAAACCTTTGCACAAGGTGCCTTTCAAGCCTGATCACTCTGAGAAGGCTATGCATCAGGAGATATGGCCGGAAATGCTGGGGGGAGGAGGGTGCTGATAACTGATGTATGGCAAGGGACCCCAGAAGCTGATCAGTGGAAAGTCTTGGTAAGATTGAAACCAGGGCTGGAGATCTGGTGCTTCATCTCAATCACAACACGGAGTCATCAGGCAGAGGAGAGGTTCATGGAGGGCAGACTCACATCCCTGACACTATAGATGACAGCACATTTTCTAACTTCATTCCTCTTTATTTTTTGCCCTCCTTCCCCTCATATCTGATGCTGTATGATTGTTCTAGCAATAAAAAGGCCAGGACCTTGCTCTTTGGCATCATTCTGCAACCTACAGCTTGCTCCAGGACTTCCGTTTGTCAGCTCAGTGTTGTCAACGTAACACATGTCTTGGATGAACAGTTCAAGGATGGTCACTGAGACTAAATTAACAAGGACTGAATCTCTCATGCACTACTGACACACTGACCCACATATTGAGGACACATTCTGGAGCACACTCTGGGTGTGATCAGACGTGGCAGAGCTAGAACCCTGGTGGAATTTTCTCACTGAGCTGCCATTTACCCTTTTGCTTTTCAGAGCCAATGCTGCCTTCATGTACTATTTTTAACATATTGAAGTAAGGAACGTGGAAGAATTTGATTAGGGGAGAGAAATTCTGCACTGCACTTTATTCATGTAAAGAGAGATTTCTGATTTCCAAAGGAAGTATTTTCAGCAGGTCTTTCTTAGAGCGAAATGAGGAAGTGCTTTCTCTGATAGAAAGAGCTTTAAGTGAAAGCATCTCTGAAGGGTGGAGCTTCTTGAAAGAATTAAAGCAGGTTTAAGCTTTAAGTCAGATCTCCAGCTGATTGCCAGCATCAGAAGACCCGTGAGTGCCATGAGCTCTAGTCCAGGAGGAATGGACAAGATCCTTGGAACATCCATTTTAATTCTATGGCTTCAGCTAGGCTGTGAGTTGTAGGGGGAAATGCAGCATATGTCCTTTATTTTGGGCAATAAGTTAGTTGGGTTATGGAAAAACTGTGGGAAAAATTTTACAAAGGGAATATAAATTTGCAATGTATTATTTTTTTCTCTTTTTAGCAGGGGTGAGTGGCCAACAAGACAAAAAGGACCAGCAGCAGGTGGAACAGCGTCCTCAATCTGTGAAGGCTAAGGAAGGAGAGACCGCAATTATGAACTGTACTTATAAGAATAGTGCATTTGACTACTTTCCCTGGTATCAACAACGTTCTGGTCAAGGCCCTGAGTTACTGTTAGCCATTCGTATAAATAAGAACAGAGAAGAGAAAGGAAGATACAGTCTTTTATCCAATTCAAGTGTGAAATATTTGTCTCTGCACATAAAGACCTTGGAGCCTGGGGACTCAGCCACCTACTTCTGTGCAGCAAGCACACAGTGCTCTCCAGGCACCTGCAGCCTGTGCCCAAACCTGCAGCTGAAGCTCCAGCCAGACCCTGTGTGTGGTTATTAAAACGTCTTAATCCATTTCAAAGAAAGTTCTGTATATAAAGCCAAAAGAAACAAGGTCAATATACAGAATATTCTCTGACCTATATGGCTTGGCTTTAAGAAAGCAATTGTATAGAGATATCACTAAAAACTCCCAAATATCTGAAATTTAGGCAGCAAACTTGAAAATTACCCACGGGAGGATGCAAGTGCAATAGCGATTAGAAAAGACTTTGAAAGAAAATGTAATGAAAACACATACATATGAATATGTGCGATGCAGCTAAAATTTTCCATAGAAAGTTATCTTTTGTTAACTTGTGCTAAGAGGAAAGGTTGAAAAATAATTGTGTGAGCTTTGAAAAAAAGGAAAATAAAAACAACAAATTAAACTAAAAGTTAAAAAACATAAAAAATAAAATCTATGAACTAGAAAATAAGCTGTAGAGACAGTTATAAAATAACAAGGTCAATTTTTGTAACAATTAATAAAAACATATATTCTTGGTTACAATTAAGAGACAAAAAAGTGACAGCAATGGGGAGGAAGCAGGTGTAATGTGAGGTAAAAATCTAAAGTTCTTTTCTAGTAGGTGCACGGATGCTACAGATCCCTACGCGCTAACCTACGGGAGAGGCATTCTCTAGCAATGCAGGGCTTGGCCTGAAGATGGCAGTGTTCTACTTTCACCCTTCCCTCTGCACCCCCCCTCCTCTCTCTCTCTCTCTCTCTCTCTCT